TAAAAGCTGACGTTATCATTTAAGTAGGATTGGCAAAATGTTAAATATTTAATAGTTCACAATCAGATCTGCATGCATGAGTATATATAATGTGCTTATAGAGATTGATATAAGCACTTTTCCATTTTAAGTTTATTATTCATACAGTGTAATAAAAATGAAAACAGCACTGCATCATGTAATATTTGAACCCTACAATGGAATTAGGGACTCCTCAATTTACTGTATCAGTCCATGCAAGGCTATATCGATAAATATGAGCAAACATAAATGCTACATATATGTGCAAACTTGCATACATGTTACATATATGTTTTCATCCTCGCCAATTTTCATATATGTCGCATATATGCAGACATATGTGACATATATGTAGAAATGACTGTAGCATTTTAACTATATGTCACATATATGCACATATATGTGACATATATGTGCAACAATTGAACCTATGTCACATATATGTCACATATATGTAGATTTGGTAAGGGGCGCCTCTCTATATGTTTGGTTAAGTAAATTAACATAAAAGGAATTTTGAATAGCTAGGCATAGAACTAGCTTTTCTGAAGGTTTCCCCACTTTTTATGTGCAAATATTCTGTTATCTGTTATCTTAATATTTCCTTTTCGTAGTGAATGTATTTACATGTATGTTTAAAAGTGACTTTAGGGTATTTAATTAAGGTGAAACGACCTTCACACAGCATGTTAGACCATTTATATGTATATCAATGTACTATTCAGTTGTTACCTAATTGTACAGTATCAATAGTTAGCAATCACTGTTAAAGGTATCAAGATTAAGTATTAAATTTTGATAATCATTGTAACAAAAGACTTTTTTCCAATTCCATCTTTTTCAAAATCTTTTTCTCAGCTAGCTATTTATGATAATAGTACACTGAGTTGCTTTAAGCCTCTGCTGGATTCCAGCTGTAATTTTCTTGCAGGCACTAAAGTGCCACTGGCAAAGATCAAACTTGACATGGTTGAAATGTTACTTGAGTTCAAGCATCTTGAGGGATTGAGAGATGTTTGCATTATGCTGGCTGTTAATACATGTATAACTACAAAGAGTGACAAAAATAGTTTGTCATATCATGATTTAACTCAAATTAAGTTACTTGAAATTCCCCCCTCTTTCCCTCAAACAATTTGGCTTGGTAGTTATGCTTGGTAATGAAGGAGAGGGGGGGAGGGGGTGAAGGGAAGATAAATGAGAGTAAATAGAAACAATTCAAAAGTATAAGAGCATGCCAAGATGTTTGCTGTCATTGTAGTTAACCATTATTGACTATTATTATGCATAAGACTTACTATGAAAACTCTGATTGGTCCAGAGCATACTGTCAACATACAATCATGTCAAGATCAGTCTGCCTAGTCTCTAAGTCCCTCATCTGTGTTAGAATTCTCAAACTTTTGCAAACTTAGAGAGGTGTATTCTTTTGCAGATTGTTTAAGGAATGTATAATAAAACAATTATTGAACTTGGGTTTTGCATGATATCATTATTTATCAAACCTTTTATCTGTGTTATCTGCCTCAGTCTTTGCCTCTGGCAGATATTAACTTGGACCTCCGCACTGATAATTCATGATATCATATTGCTCAACCTCATCCAAAAATTGCTTATTGTTTAAGTTGTACTAGTGTACATGCAGAATCTGGTCATTATATCCTTAAGAGTGATTACCATCTAATTTCTCCTTACTCTATTAGCACTGAATCACTCATTAAGATCAGAATTGAGGAAATTGTTCTTATTATGGAATAGTAGTCAATGACAATCAGGTATTCCACCCCCTTCATTTGAAAGAGGTCTGTGTATTCGATTTGCCATGGACGATCAGGCAAGGGTGTTGTATTGAGTGGCTCTGGCTTGTTGTCCCTGTGTAATGCACAGGTCCTGCACCGCTGCACTAAGTTTTGGATTTCTCTGCTCAGTCCTGGCCACCACACAGAACTTTTGGCTCGCTCCCGACACTTGATAATCCCTTGATGACCTTCGTGTATCTTGTCCAGGATCTCTAGCCGCATGGACGATGGTATAGCAATTCTGGTTCCTTTAAGGAGGATATTCTGTAAAACAGTAAGTTCACCCCTGGTTGACCAGTAAGATTTCATAGCATCATTCACTGAGTACTTATCAGGCCAACCTTCGGAGCAATAAGTTTTTATGTCTGCAGACTGGATCTTCTTCCTGAGCTTGTATAGTTTGCTGCAATCTCGTATCCAAGGCTGGGAGGCCTGTGATCACGCTTGCAACATGTGCTGTCATCTCATCATTAGCAATAGTAGGCTGAGGATGTACATAGTGGGCATGGAACCTTGACAGTGCATCAGCGATGTACATCTTTTTCCCAGGGACGTGAATGGTCTCTTTGAAGTGGAATATCTCATTAACCTCATCCTGAATCTCTGGATTCTTGGTGGGAGTTGTTCCATTGAGTGCGTGCTCAACAATGGGCCCAAAGGCTTGTGGTCTGTTTTCACATAGATTGACTTTCTCCTGATCTCTCGCGGGCACAAGTCAGCGCCAGGGCATCTTTTTCTATCTGTGCATACCTTGATTCGGTGGGTATTAACGCTCTCGACAGAAAGGATACCGGTCTATAAGACTTGTCTGGTAGGAGCTAAAGTACTACTCCTCCTAGTCCGTAGGAAGATGCATCCGCAGCTACCTTTGTTTCCTTGTTAGGATCATACAGTGTTAGTACTGGAGCTCTCGCGAGATCTACCTTGATTTGCTCGAAGGCTTTCTGCTGGGCGTTTCCCCATGTCCACTGGTTCCCTTCTAGAAGAAGCTCTCCGATACTTCTTGTCTTGTCTGCGAGGTGGTCTGAAAACCTGCTAAGCTGGTTTACCATGCCCAAGAACGTTCTCACTTCCTGCACATTTGTGGGTGGTGGGAGGTCTAGATCTGTGATTCCTTTTATTTTGTCTGGGTCAACTTCAACACCATTGGAAATAATGAGATGTCCCAGAAACTTGACTTGCTTGGTGCTGAAGACACACTTGTCGAGGTTGAGTGTTACGCCAGCCTCCAACAGACGCTTGAGAACTGCTCCTAGCCTCTCATCGTGCTGCTGTTGGTCTTTACCATGGACGAGCACGTCGTCTATATTGCACTCTACACCCTTCAAACCCAACAGGATTTGGTTCACGGTCCTCTGGAATTTCTCAGAACCGGAACTGATTCCAAAAGTGAGTTTATAAATGTGATAGCTTTTTTTACCTCAAAACTGGTTTTGTGTTCTGTGTGTTTCTACTACATAAAATAACGATACTACATACTACAACACAATCATAATGCTACGCCGAAACAGCTATTAAATAAAATCGAAATTAAACAAAAAACCTATACTTCTACAACCTCTCTCTTATCGCTGGATCTATATTTCTGTAGAGATCCATACACCAGACTTGAGTGTAATGTGTAAATCAACCAATAAATTGCTGGTGTGGTAAAACAGCAAAGGGTGTCTTTAATAAGTCAATATTTCGACTTGTACCACATGTAAATCGTCAAGGGAGGATCGCAGGCGCCGACATGGTGGCCACATGTAATTTAGCTCTACACATTATTATCCTTTTAGCAGCCAGTTTACTCTTGACTGGCGAATTGTACTCCTTAAATGATCTGAAAAGATCTATTGGATCTATTTCTGGCGATCTCAGCGTGCCTTCTATCGCCTGCTTTCAACATTTAACATGTGGTTTTCGGAGGCTGGTTAAAATCACAGGTCGAATTCAGCGAGCACAAGCTGTCTGGACCATACATGGCTATACATGTTTGTCACCGCCTGAATTCGAGCCTTGGGTCGACATTACTATATATATGGATGTTTCCAACAACCCTGGACCTTGGCAAAATGATACTTCTTCGCCTGACAAGCGATATAACAATAGGTGGTTTGCAACCAATCTCTAGAGACACAGGTAACAATGGTGAAAGGAACAAATGCTGGTGGACGAACAAAAGAAGCTAATGAGATATCTATTGTTTACGTCCATCAACATGGCGGCAATGGCGTAACGTGCAAACCACCTATTCGAGTGGGACACCTCCATCTTATCAGACAACCACTGCGCGTCTCCTCTACTCTAGGAAATCGTTATTCCGTTTACGACACTATCCTAAGTCTGCATTGGAAAGCATATCTTTAAAGATTTGAGGAGCTCTGGTTTATTTAAATACCGAGGAAAGCGTGGGAGTGGCCCTAAAATAAACCAGTATGCTATTTCTACTTTGGCTACGTTTAGACGGGACTATCAACAAAGGATACCAGTTAGGATTTCTAACGGAAGAAATAAAGTCAGAGGCTGGAGTTTAGATTGTATTCCGCTGAGAGGCATGGTCAGGGCGAACCTAGTCCCTATTGTTAGACAAGCGAAACCTGCTACCATCAAATCCAGCTCCAAATTAGCAGTGCCAAAATTTTTATTCACTAACGTATGTAGCCTTGCCAAGACTAAAAACCGAATTCGTGCGGGTGTAGCACTGGAGACAGATTTGAATACCAAAGACATTGATATTTATATCGTATCAGAGACTCATCTTAAGCCAGACATGCCGGACGCAATTGTCAGCATAACAGGCTACAATATATGTAGACGAGATAGGAATTGGTCGGGCCTGGACAGCAGAAGTAAAGGTGGAATTGCTATGTTTGCGAGGAGTAACTTGAACGTAATCGATGTGTATAGATCAAAGCTATATCAACTGTTGTGTTTTACTTTTAGATTACCCTCGAGACAATTACTTTTAGTGTGTGGTATTTACCACCCGCCTCAACCAACATACAGGTCCTCGGACTTCTTACGTACAATACCTTGTTCATTTAGTGGACAACGCTTTAGATCAACATCCTGGATTGACCCGTTATGGGTGGCGATACTAATCAGCTTGACGTTAATGAATTGTGCTTAATGAGTGGATGGAATTCCCTGGTGGACTTTCCAACTAGAGGTGCTGCGTTTTTGGAAAATGTCTTTACAAATCGACTGGACTTGTTTAGAAAATGTACTCCGTATTGCATATCGATAAAAACGGATCATACGGCGGTCATTCTACCTGCGGGAACAAAACTCAAGCCCGTGCGCCAAACATTTCGCATCCGGGATCGTAGGAAGCACAAAAAGGAAGCGTTATATCTGGATCTAGCGGGCGAGACTTGGGAAAGTGTCCTTAGAACAGAGGACGTTGATGAGGCGGTGAATATTTTAGAGACTCTTATTCACAATTACATGGACATGTGCATGCCTTATCGGAGTGCGCATGTCATCGCATGATTCGGCGTGGATGACGCCCTTAGTTAAAAGAATAAAAACAGTGTTTCTGATTGTCAATCAAATTGTCCTTGTCAGCTCCATAGGAAATGTAAATAGAACAGTGTGGAGAATGTGAATACTAATGTTAAGGTGTAAAGGGATAAAGGCAGTCTTTCAGTTTGGACCAATTGCTGTTGTGGCATTTTATTTCTGCGACCATTTTGGTCGGTTTCTCTGTTTCCAACAAGCCCCTACACACCCCCTGTGTAAAACAAGGCAGATAGTGTGCTATCCTAACAAGCAATCAATGTTAACCGTAGTAAGCTACAAAAGGTATCCAAAACACTATGTACTACCCTTTAGAGAACCAGAGTACAGGTTCGAGTATTCTAACCAATCAGAAGCAGCCAAAATGGTTCTCAGGACTGTGCTTTCCCGCGCTGGTCAGTGCAGGTTGCATTTTTTCCGCGCAAAGAACGCTTAATGTGTTTGGTCTGGTCAGTGGTGTGTTTAGTCTAACAACGAATCAAGGATTCCTTTCTTCTTATCCACTGACATCTTATCCACTGACATGTGTCTGTTTATTTAATCCGCCATTCAACTTATTCGTGAGAAATCCGATATGAAAATGATCTAATCCATAATCCATAATTATATGAGTTCTTATAGAGCAACCTGTACACAGATTTTGAAAACTGCTAGCAGACCCAGTCTCCTACGCTTCTAGTACTCAGGATGGGACGCATCTAAACTCTCCCCGTTCCAAGGTCAGAGAATTAGGTGACATCCCAAAGATGGTCGATAAAGGGCTGCACACAACACAGGAATTTATTTATTTATTTAATCACTTTCACCAGAGTGTGGTGAGGGTCGCACAACAGAGCGAGGCTCCAAATTAAGTGCGCCCTATATCCCACCCATCCCACCCCAGGGGAGGACATTCATCACACAGTAATCTCTGGTTACATTCTTTCCCTGTTAACTCTACATACTAACATCAGTTTGCATGTTCTCCATATTTTTCTCTAAACATTTCTATGCTACTTTCAAGGAAAATATGGTTAACAATTAAACGATTTTTGATCTCATGATCATTTTCTTGGTTCATGACTTTAATGTGTGATACTGTGGGGAGAAAGTAGATGCTTATCACCCCAAGTGGTTAAAGGATTAAGGAACAAACCCCGTTATGTTTGGCCGTCAGTGACCCTGAAGAGGATTTGAAGTGCAGGTTGAAGTAATGGCTGATTAAAAGTACTCTTTACTGTTTTACCGGCAATTTTATTGGTTGATTTACACATTACAAACAAGTGTGGTGCATGCATCTCTACTAAAATAGATCTAGTAACGAGAAAATAAACTGTGTTTATTCTGCATTGTGCATTTCGCTAAGGTTTCAAATATAATTGCTCAAAGGTGACCATCTTTCCTCATCTATAGTAAACTAGTATGTCAGTTAATACCTGTTTCGTCTTCTTTGTGACTACTGAGGCAGTCAGTGTGAAAGTTGCGAAGCAGTCAAGCATACATAATTATGATTTAGAAGTCGGGTGCTGTAAACATGACTACACAAATTGCCGTCTTAAATAAGAGAGTTTAAAGTGTAAGGTTTACAGCAAACGGTAACTGGTCAAAATTGACCCCTCACTTAGCTCAGCCTTTTTAGGTGAGCGACCTACTAAATTAAGGCAATAAAAAACGGATACCTATTCCTGCTGTCTGCCACAAATATCATAGCTAAATACAAAGATCTAACTTGTCGGAGAAACTACTCCCCAACAATCTCTAGTTTGTCTTGTAATTTTCTGGAGAGCTTCAAAACAGAGGCAGTGAATGCATTTTTATTTCCTGGGTCGATGTTCGTTACTGGCATGGTTGTTTTGTGGATCCATTTTTCGTTTGCCGTGTGAAAATATTCAACACTCAGTTCTGTTTCGTTTCTCCCATTTTTTCCACCCAGTACGTACAGCTTTCCATTCAGACAAACCATACTACCGTTAGAACGAGGAACATTCAAGTCTGCAATACATTGCCACTCATTTCTGGACGTAGTGTACATCTCACAAGTTCGTGATCTCCCTCTCCTGCCTGTTCCTCCAGCAACGAAGATTTTTTCTTGAGAGGCCACTCCAAAAGCTTCGCTTTTTCCTTCTCGCATGTCTGCGATTTCCTCCCACTTTTTCTCCACGATGTCGAATCTCTCAGCTTTGGCAGAGTAATCTCCTGTAACCTTCCCACCAAACATGTACAGATGGCTGCCGGCTGCAACAACACAAGCATCATCTCTACACTGTCCATGAGATACGTGAAGTGTCTCCCATGTATACTGCTCTTTATTGTACCTCTTCGTAGCAGTTTTCATGAGAAAGCTGTCAACTTCAACAGCATAAATTTCTCCTTTAAGAACGGTCACCTTTGCAGAACCTGCACTCAAGTTTAGCTCAGACCAAGCGTTAAAAACAGGATCGTATCTCTCTGAATTTTGATAATCGGAAAAGGCAAACAACTGATCACGGAATTTTATCATCTGAGTTGAACTAGCGTTTATGTCCCTCAGACCATATGGTAAGCGCTTCCACAGGTCCTCTTCAGGTAGATAACAAAAAGTGGACTTGCCACCACGAGCAACAATAACTCGGGTATCATATCCCTTTCTGGGTGACTTCGGGAGATCATCGTCATCGGCAGTAGTAACCATGTTTATAAGGGCATTCATGACCAGCTTCACAGAAGCAAAATTCTCACGCACCAGTTCGTTTGTAACGACCTCCTTCAAACAGTCACGCGACAGAACACTCAGTCGAACGTGATGAAACAATTCTTCAAATGCTGTCATACGCTCCCTCTTGCTGTGTTCAACCCATTTAAGTATGATCTTGAAGATGCTGGCCTCCGCTTCCACAGCAATCTCGTCACTTGAAATCCACCTCGCCACCTCCTTAGCCTCCAAGCTCAGAAATTCATCCATTTCTCCTACGGAGGCGAAATTTTCGTGGATGAATTTCCTACTGTTGCGTTTTAGCTCGTCACAATCGTATTTCTCAGCGAGGTAAAAGGTCGAGATGCAATTTGAATTGGACATTTCTCCCTCTAGAAGCCGCCCGGAAACAGTTTTCAAGCCGGGTATAATCAAATAATTCCCTGCGGTGATCAGTTCCTCGGCATTCTCTTGAGTTACTTTCACAGTTCCTGTGTAGATGAATTCTAAAACATCTTCTAGAACAGATCCTGGAATCTCCTCAAACTGAATAATCCCTTCTCGATTTTCTTTCATGTCACTCTGAAGAAGCTTGCAAAAAAATGGACTTACCGCGGAAAGCACATTTCTGTGAGCCTTTAACTCGCTCATATCTTTGGAAACTAAAGTAATATCGCACAAATAATCTTGTTTTCGCTGAATGTTGAGGTGTTTTAGCAGTTCCACACAGAAAGCCGCTTGCTCAGCAGCTGAGATGGGCTGTGTATCTTCCATATTTTAAAGAATGTCTTTAATTCTGTTGGCAGATTCTCCTGAAACGTTGTTTACCATTTGGAATACCCTGGAAAAATATCGAAAGCGGAAGTACAGCTGGTTCTCACTTTCCCACATGCTCGCTCGATTTTTCTTTCCCGAGTCTACTGGGAGACTAGGGACGAGAAGAAAACCAATTTCGGGGGACAGAAAAAACGTCGTGGGTAGAAACTCGAGGGAAAGAGGGAAAGTCAGGGGTTGGATTCTTTTGAGAAAATATCCTGTTGGTATATTTGCGCAATGTAATATTTACATAGGAATTTTAATTGTTCAAATCCAACGTGCATGAAATTAACTAAGGACCAGTCCATGTTTACCCCCTGAGGGGTTGGAGGATTTTGGCTGAGGGACGATAAAATATCAATTACCCGCGGATTCCCCCATGATAATGAGGCCATGTAACGTTCTATGGTCCCCCCTCATTTTCAGTTAAGTGGCAATTAGTTTTTTTTATTTTCTCAGTTTTATACTAAATACCATGTAATACCCTGAAACTTCCATCCCCTCCCTTCCCTTCCCGGGCGAAAGTTGATAATTGGTCCCTGATTGAATAGCAATGTGGGCATAATGGCATTTAATAATGAGGACGACAGGAGGACCCTAGTGTTCAAATCTAGCAGCAATATTGAGTTACATGTATGAACAGTTATCTTCCTTCCCTGGAATTTCGCTTAAGTTTCACTTTTGCATCGAACGTTTAAAAGAAAACAGAGCTGCGAACAAAAGAAGAATAATACTTAAGGATAGAAAATCCGCTTGTTCTTTTCAGCAACAAATACGAAATTCGATCTGACTGAGTAACCTTAAAATACCTGCTAATTTACATTTTGATAAAAACAAAAACCAAACACAACAAAACAATCATAATGACATAGGCATTACCTTTACAAGTTTTCTCCTCGTTTTTTCCTGATGACATAACTAGCAATGTTAATCCATTCAGTGAATGCAATTTTCGCTCCATTTCTTCAGATAATGATATTACCTTCAATAATTCAATACACCAGTTTTTCGGCTCAAAGTAAGAGGCTCAGGTGTTCCGGTTTACTGAATTTAATTATTTTTTAGACATGTTTTTTTAATTATAAATGTTGCATTTTCGAGGTTGTGACTCTATGTAGCTTAAGACGAGTCTTTTTCTTGACAATGATTTCTCTCTCTTTCTTTGAAGATTTTACACTTTCTGTTATTCGCTTATCTGGTTCCAGCACCTCATCATCTAACCTCAGTTTGTATCATCACTCTTAACGGGTTTTCGGTTCGGAGGAAATTCAGTCATAGTTTTGAGGAGTATTCTTCTTCCTGGTAAGCCCCTTAATGAGCCCATTCATCCATCCACGCAATGACAACCCGTTTTGACTCAAAGGAGGAACCCCTGTAAAGGTTTCTAACAGGAATCAAGTGTAAAGATTTAACACCCCAGTGCTTGCCACATGCCTGTACATTCCATGTTGCGATACAGAGTTCATGTATGAGATAAACAACAAAAAGCGACCATCGCCGTATGACCTTTGATTTTTTTCGGCTTTCCCTGGAATTAATCCTTCGACCAAACAAAATTCATTGTTGATCATACATGATCAACTTTGTTTGCTCGCTCTTTGTCGTGAGTGTCGTCATATTAATAAGCTATTTTATCGCAAGGCTGTAATGCGTTTGAGAGACTACTCACCAACAACCTTAAGTCTGTCGAGTAGTTCCCTGGTTAGTCTCAGAACACAGCCAAATAACAGGTGAGGTGACTGGTATTTTTTTGTAAGGACCCATCTGTCCTTCACTGTGTCATAACATTCAACACTCGGTTCAGTTTGGCCTATCTCATTTCTTCCACCCTGAGTATGCACAGCTTTCCTTTCAGACAAACCATACTTTCGTAATATCTTGGAACATCCAAGCTTACAAAAAGTTGCCATGTGTTTGTTGACGTATTATCCATCTCGCAAGTTTTCAAAATTTCTCTATTGCGTAATCCTCTAGCGACGAGGATTTTCTCTTGGAGAAGCCACTCCATTTGTTTTCAAGTGTCAAATCTCTCAAACCCTCGCGACGGATTGCACTGTGTTTGGATCCTTCCTACCAACATATACAGATGGATACCAGTTGTAGCATTCACTTTACACACTCCATTAGATGAGTGAAGAACCTCCCATACGCACGACTTCGTATTTCCTTACTGTAAGCTTATATCATAATAGAAATCCATTAAAAGCAAATGTTTGTGCCTGCTGTCCGCCGTAATAGACATATTAGGCTCTGTAATTCCACAGCTGTTAAATTTCTGAGAGAGTACTCCCTGATTGCAACAACCTTACTTTGTCTAGTGGTTCTGTGGAAAGCTTCAATTCAGAATAGAGCCAGCAGTGAATACCTTTTTAAACTCCGCTTGGTCGATGATTGCCACTGGTATGGCTGTTTTCTGCATCCACTGGTCCTTTGCACTGTCGAAACATTCAACACTCAGTTCAGTTTCGTTCCTCTCATTAAATCCACTCTGTACGTACAACTTTCCATTCAGACAAACCATACTACCATTGTAACGTGGAACAATGAAGTTTGCAATACATTGCCACTCATTTGTCGAAGTAGTGAACATCTCACAAGTTTTTGAGATCTCTTATTCTTCCATATATCTCCTATGGTTTTTACTGCCTGGCGACAGGCAGCAAAAACGCACCTAAACAAGATACTCCATCTTCAAAAACGGGTGGTCCGCTTGATGAATTTCTCTAAGTTTAATGTTCACGCTGTTCCACTTTTTATCTCTACCAATATTCTGCCTTTACCTTCAATCTACTTTAAAAATTGCCCCATCTTAATGCATGATGTCAATAACAAAGTCGTGCCATCTAACATTTCTGCTCTCTTTAGACCTATTAAAGACGCTCATCATTATAACACACGATCTTCTACCGCTGGTAACTTCTATATAAACTACTCTCGACTAAATCACTATAAGAATTCTTTTTCCTCTATGTGCACAAAAAATTAGAACTGTGTTCCTGATGTTTTGAGACATCTTCCTAAATATAGTTTCAAGAAAAAAATAACCGAATCCTTATTTCAAATCATTCTAAACCAAGATTCTTATCCTGATATTGATACATTAACAAACGAAATGACAAGAAACTAGATTTCGTTAAAATAAAGAGTATTTTGAGCTTCTCCTGGTTTTGATCATTTGCTCGTGGCTTCGTAACTGAGTATACCTATATTTTTGTATTCACTTTTGTAATTGACATCTGTACCTTTGTAATTATTATCTATTTTTTGTCGTTAGAATAATAATATATCAATATGTAATTAGCACGTTTCTCATACTACCTGCCTCGATTAGCCTCGCTATATTGCAGGTAGTCTTAATTTATAAGTTAAATTGTGATTATAAATAAAGATGTTGTTAGATAGAAGAACGTTACAATAATCCAGCTTCGACGAAATAAAGGCATAAATTCAATAAGTATCTTCATCGGCAAAAGTAGCCATCTTTGTTGTGGCATCTAATGTCAGCCTCAAACAAACAGCACTGTCACGAACATGTTCGTTAGTCACGACATCCTCCAGACGCTCACGCGACAGAAAACCCAAGCGAAAGTGACCAAACAATTCTTCAAATGTTGTTTTTCGCTCGTTCTTTCTGCGGTTAACCCAGTCTGATATGATTTTATAAACATCAGCTTCCTTTTTTACTTTTACTGATCTCGCCAGACGATATCCATCTCTCGATCTCTTTAGCTTCCAACTGCAACTTTCATCCATTTTTGCTACGGAAACGATGTTCACGTAACTGATAAAACGCCTGCTGGTGTCGCTAAGCTCGTCACAATCGTATTTCTCAGCGAGATAAAAGGTTGAAATACAGTTCATGTGTGACATTTTTCGTTCCAAAAACCGCCCTGACACAGTTTTCAAGCTTGGTATGATCAGATAATTTCCTGCAGCGATCAGTTCCATGGCATTCTCCTAAGTTACTTCCTCAGTTCCCGTCTAGATAAATTCCAGAACATCTTCCATAACGGAGCCTGAAATCTCCTCACATCTAATAAACCTTTCGCGATTCTCCTTCATGTCGCTCTGAAGAAGCTTGAAAAAGAACGGACTTGCCGCAGAAAGAACCGTTCTGCGAGCCTTGAATTCTCTGTTATCTTTGGAAACCAAAATAACGTCGCACATATAATCTTCTCTTCGCTGTATATTGAGGTGCTTCATCAATTCCACACAGAACAAGGCTTGTTTAGCAGCTGAGATAGGCTCTATATCTTCCATCGTTTACAGTATATCCTTATTTCCTTCAGTCCTTGAACAGATCCGCCTAAATATTGCTAACACCGAGGAACACAGGAAAAGATATCGAAAGCGGAAGTTTAGATGGTTCCCAATTTTCCATCTCAGTTCCCGAGTCCCCTGGGCCGGGAGAACTCTGGAGACGAGACGATTTAAGCGAGTAACCGAGCCGGATGAGTTTGAAAAAACTGATTCTGTTAATCAAACATTTTACTGGCTCTGAATCAGATCAAGAGTTACTGATCGAGATACAGTTGGCCATTGAAAGATTACGTTGATTCTGACGTGACTCGGGTACGATCATAGCTACAAACTGAGATTTGACCAGATTTTATTGCGTTGTAGGTTTACCCACAAATCTTTGCTTAACTGTGACCATTCTTTGTTTCAGAATTAAACTAATCCTTAAATTAATCAATACCTGTGTTTAATCAGATCTGTTGAGGAAGCCTGATTTTTTTCAGTACACCTGTCCACTTCCATGTTGCTTTTTCCTAGCCGTTTTCGTAATTTTTAGTTTACCATTTATATAGTGCTTTTAAAAGTCACGCGTGTTCCAAAGATTCAACTTCCACTTTTAAGTGTTAAAACACTCAGAGGTAGGATTTTCCAATAATATTTTCTTTTTTTCTGTTTTTGCATTTGGATTCTCGCGTTTAAGAATAAAAACAGTGTTTCTGATTGTCACACAAATTCTCCTTGTCAGCTCCATAAGAAATGTTAATAGAACAGTGTGGAGAATATGAATGCTAATGTTAAGGTGCACGTGTAATGGGTTAAAGGCACTTTTTCAGTTCGGACCAATTGCTGTCGTAGCATTTTATTTCTGCGGCCATTTTGGTCGGTTTCTCTGTTTCCAACAAGCCCCTACACACCCCCTGTGTAAAACAAGGCAGATAGTGTCCTATCCTAACAAGCAATCAATGTTAACGGTAGTAAGCTACCAAAGGTATCCAAAACACTATGCACTACCCTTTAGTGAACCAGAGTACTGATTCGAGTTTTCTAACCAATCAGAAACAGCCAAAATGGTTCTCAGGACTGTGCTTTCTCGCGCTGCTCGGTGCAGGTTGCATTTTTCCCGCGCAGAGAACACCTAATGCGTTTGGTCTGGTCAGTCTTGTGTGTAGTCTAACAACGAACTCAAGGATTCCTTCGTCCTCATTTACTGACATATGTTTGTTTGTTTAATCCGCCATTCAACTTATTCGTGAAAAATCCGATTTAAAAATGATCTAATCCATAATCCGTAATTATATGAGTTCCTATAGTCAAGAGCAACCTGTACCTGTTGAAAAAATGCTGGTAGACCCAGTCTACTACGCTTCTGGTACTCAAGATGTCACGCATCATAAACTCTCCCAGTTCCGAGGTGAGACTGATTGTATGACATCCTAAAAATGGTTGATAAAGGGTGGGGGACAACTCTAATTACATTCTTACCCTGTTAAGTGTCCCTGTCTGAGAAAGTGTTCCAGGAGCCAAAAGTGGTGGTCAACCGATTTGGCTGAAACTTAGCACAAAAGTTGAGCGTGATAAGAACGCCACTTTGGCTCACTTCTCTGACTGTTTGTTCTGGAGTTTCAGGGGGGTCCCATTTGTGGCCTTTGGATCATCAAAAATTCATCCTTCTAGGTAGCATTTTGAAAGTGCTATAAAACTCCATTGGTAAATTGTGCTGCCAAATGAATTTTACCATGGGCTTTGACTATAAGTGGCCCCTCTCTGTCTAATCGCGTGAGAACAAAGTTACATTTATGAAGTAAAAGCTCTACTATAGTAGAGCCCATGGTCAATTTCATTTGGCAGCACAATTTACCAATGGCGTTTTATAGCACTTTCAAAATGCCACCTAGAAGGATGAATATTTGATGCTCCAAAGGCCACAAATGGGACCCCCCTGCAACTCCAGAACAAACAGTCAGAGAAGTGAGCCAAAGTGGTGCTTGAAATATCTTATCACACTCAACTTTTGTGCCAAGTTTCAGCCAAATCGGTTGACCACCACTTTTGGCTCCTGGAACACTTTCTCAGACAGGGACACTTAACAGGGTAAGAATGTAATTAGAGTTGTCCCCCACCCTTTATCAACCATTTTTAGGATGTCATACAATCAGTCTCACCTCGGAACTGGGAGAGTTTATGATGCGTGACATCTTGAGTACCAGAAGCGTAGTAGACTGGGTCTACCAGCATTTTTTCAACAGGTACAGGTTGCTCTTGACTATAGGAACTCATATAATTACGGATTATGGATTAGATCATTTTTAAATCGGATTTTTCACGAATAAGTTGAATGGCGGATTAAACAAACAAACATATGTCAGTAAATGAGGACGAAGGAATCCTTGAGTTCGTTGTTAGACTACACACAAGACTGACCAGACCAAACGCATTAGGTGTTCTCTGCGCGGGAAAAATGCAACCTGCACCGAGCAGCGCGAGAAAGCACAGTCCTGAGAACCATTTTGGCTGTTTCTGATTGGTTAGAAAACTCGAATCAGTACTCTGGTTCACTAAAGGGTAGTGCATAGTGTTTTGGATACCTTTGGTAGCTTACTACCGTTAACATTGATTGCTTGTTAGGATAGGACACTATCTGCCTTGTTTTACACAGGGGGTGTGTAGGGGCTTGTTGGAAACAGAGAAACCGACCAAAATGGCCGCAGAAATAAAATGCTACGACAGCAATTGGTCCGAACTGAAAAAGTGCCTTTAACCCATTACACGTGCACCTTAACATTAGCATTCATATTCTCCACACTGTTCTATTAACATTTCTTATGGAGCTGACAAGGAGAATTTGTGTGACAATCAGAAACACTGTTTTTATTCTTAAACGCGAGAATCCAAATGCAAAAACAGAAAAAAAGAAAATATTATTGGAAAATCCTACCTCTGAGTGTTTTAACACTTAAAAGTGGAAGTTGAATCTTTGGAACACGCGTGACTTTTAAAAGCACTATATAAATGGTAAACTAAAAATTACGAAAACGGCTAGGAAAAAGCAACATGGAAGTGGACAGGTGTACTGAAAAAAATCAGGCTTCCTCAACAGATCTGATTAAACACAGGTATTGATTAATTTAAGGATTAGTTTAATTCTGAAACAAAGAATGGTCACAGTTAAGCAAAGATTTGTGGGTAAACCTACAACGCAATAAAATCTGGTCAAATCTCAGTTTGTAGCTATGATCGTACCCGAGTCACGTCAGAATCAACGTAATCTTTCAATGGCCAACTGTATCTCGATCAGTAACTCTTGATCTGATTCAGAGCCAGTAAAATGTTTGATTAACAGAATCAGTTTTTTCAAACTCATCCGGCTCGGTTACTCGCTTAAATCGTCTCGTCTCCAGAGTTCTCCCGGCCCAGGGGACTCGGGAACTGAGATGGAAAATTGGGAACCATCTAAACTTCCGCTTTCGATATCTTTTCCTGTGTTCCTCGGTGTTAGCAATATTTAGGCGGATCTGTTCAAGGACTGAAGGAAATAAGGATATACTGTAAACGATGGAAGATATAGAGCCTATCTCAGCTGCTAAACAAGCCTTGTTCTGTGTGGAATTGATGAAGCACCTCAATATACAGCGAAGAGAAGATTATATGTGCGACGTTATTTTGGTTTCCAAAGATAACAGAGAATTCAAGGCTCGCAGAACGGTTCTTTCTGCGGCAAGTCCGTTCTTTTTCAAGCTTCTTCAGAGCGACATGAAGGAGAATCGCGAAAGGTTTATTAGATGTG